TGGCAGGGTCGGGAGAGGAGGCGATGGTTGCAGGGCCGGGTGTGGAAGGAACGGATGCCAAATGCCAATGCCGCCCTCGGTACCCCACCACCATGCAGTTCCCCGCCTCCCCCTCTCCCCTTTCCTCATCGCCACTATGGCCACCACTGGGGCCTGCTGGCTGGGGGGAGGGACAGGGCCTGCTGGCCAGGAGAGGGACCACAGGAGGTTTGCCGGCTCGGGGGAGAGGCTGCAGGAGGTTGACCACTGGCCCTGAGGAAGGAGCCAGCCCTCGGCCCCCCTGGGAAAAGGGTCACGTTCTCTGCCTCCCACCCCCGGTTCCCCATCCCAGCCCAGGGCTAGAAGGCCCTGGCGGGGTTGGGAGAGGAGGCAACAGTCGCTGGGCCAGGCACAGAATTGGGGCCTGCCGGCCGGGGGGGGGTTGGGGGGGGTGGTGGTGTAGAGGGTAGGGGGAGGGAGGGACTGCAGGAGGTTGGCCAGCCAGGGGAGGTTGGCTGTGGGAGCGCACTGATCACTAGGGGGCAGCTCCTGCATTGAGCGTCTGTCCCCTGGTGGTCAGTGTGCATGATAGTGACCGGTTGTTCCAGTTGTAACAGTCATTTAGGCTTTTATATATATAGATATGTGTGTGTGTGTGTGTGTGTATCCTATATATTGAAGAGCTAATATGCTAATTAGACCAAACAGCAGAACAACCATCCGGACGACTGTCCAGACAACCTTCCAGACGAAGCCAGGGCTGTGAGGGCCGGCCAAGGCCGCCAAGGCTGCAAGGGGCTGTGAGGGCTGGCGGAGGCTGTGAGGGCCTGTGAGGGCTGGCCGGGGCTGCGAGGGCCGAGCCTCTTGCATGAATATCGTGCATCGGGCCACTAGTATAGATATAAAACAAGTTTCACTAAACAGAGCTTACCCTTAGTCCAGATGATGTACTCTGATATTTTCTTTTTTATCGTGTTGTTTCTTTTTTTAAAAATGGTGGTCATGATCAGCTTCATGACCCAGTAGAGTGTTCTGACTTGCAATTTGGAAAACACTGAATTGGAGAGGTTTCAGTCTTCTCTAGCAACAGAATGGATTGTTCAGGGAATTTATTGGAAGAAGGTTGGGAGCTCTTAGACTCACCAGAAAGGCTACGAAACCAGGTTTGGAAATGGGCGGAAACTAACAAAGTGCTCGAGGGCTGGGCAGAGGGACTACAGGAGATGAGGAGATGACAGTAGCTGACTGGCTGCCGGTATCTGGCCAGGCGTGATAGGAATGGAGGGCCCGGCCTCTCCAGTTTTTATAATGCAGGTCAGGCAGGCAGGCTGGCTCCTGGGTTTGCACTAGAGGAGAGGGAATCCCTGAAAGGAAGTAGCAGTGTCATTGGAAAGGGAATTGGTGCTCAGCATTGAAAAAAGAATAGTCTTCAAAAGGTAGGAGCCATAACGTAGGCACACAAAAGGCTACCTACCAGTGAATGGTGTCCTTACACCAGAGTGGGGCTCAGTGGCCCTGCTAGTGGCTTTGTCGTGTGGTGAATTCTCCGTTCAGAAATCAGGTTGCCTGTCGGTATCAAAATCAAATGCCTCTAAAACATCCCGACCCTCTGCCTTGGTAATTCTACTTTCCAGGCTCAATCCTATTTTAAATAATTCTGAATATAGAAAAGACTTCGTCCAATGATTTTCATCAAAGTGTTATGTACAGTGACAAAAACTTGGAACAACTGAAATGCCTCACGGTAGAGCATGGTCAGGCAAAGTATAGTACAGTTGACTCTTGAACAACACAGGGGTTCCTAGCACTGACCCCTCACACAGTCAGAAACCCATGTACAACTTTTGACTCCCCCAAAACGTAAACTACTAATAGCCTACTGTTGACCAGAAGCCTTACCAATGACGAACAGTTGACACACATTTTTATGTTACAAGCATTATATACTATATCCTTACAACAAGGTAAGCTAGAGAAAAGAAAATGTTATTAAGAAAATCGTAAGGAAGAGAAAATACATGTACAGTATTTATTGAAAAATATCTGCGTATAAATATAAATGGACCCATGTTGTTGAAGGATTAACTCTATATCAAATGAAATATTAGATAGCTATTAAAAATGTCAGCTGCAAAAAATGTGATGTCACAAAAATTATTTCTATGGTAACATTAAGGAAAAAATTAGAATACAAAATTATACGTACAATGTATTTACAACTATATATTCACACACACACACACACAAATAGAGAAAAGACTGGAAGAAAACATATCAAAAATATTAGCAGTGGTTGTTTTAGGGGGCAGTGAAACTATGGGTGAATTTTTTTCTACCTTTTTCCCCTTTTTCTAAATGTTCGGTTCTGCAAAAACATGAAAAATGCAAAACCAGTCATGAGTTGTATTTCCATAAGTGAATAGGAAATCATCTTATCATTTCCATAGCATCTCACTGGAGACAGTAAGTGCCAAGTATACTGTGTGGCCTGGGAGGTGGCAGCTGTCTGTGCCCCAAGTTCCCAATAAGCCAGGATTATGTGCCGGCCCTTTAAGTCCTGTGGCACCAATAAAACTGAAATGCAGGCAACTCTTGGGGTGACCAGCTCAGGTTGTCATGGCGGTTGAGGGTGGGTCTTGACATTAGATGACTCACTTTGAAGACCTCGCTACCCGTGGGTGGGCACAGGGTGGGTCTGAAGTGTGGGCAGGCGTTTCTTTGAGGGGCCTGCTTTCTTCTTGTCCCTTTCAGCAGCGGGTAACTAAGGTGGTGAGAGCAGGGAGCAGGATTGTATCCAGTATCTGCCTTCCCCAGCCCAGCAACAGAGAAGGAGGTGGAGTCTGGATTGAGCCCCAAGATAAGGAATATGCAGCAGCTGACAGGGGAGATCAAAATAAACAGCTGTGCCCCCAGGAGAATGAACTCCACATTCCATTCTCTGATCCCACCCCCAAGCGCCTTCCCCTGCCCCACCCCCATCCGTGCGCACTCAGCATCCCCATGAGCTAGAAGGGCCTCCGCTGGGCCTTGGCTTAGCTCCCTGAGAACCTTCCCACACCCACCCCCTTCCTCAGCCAGAGGCTCTGGGGCCGCTCTCCAGCTGTCTGGAAGGGAGTGAGTCTTCAGGACAGGTGGCCGGAGGCGGATGGAGAGGCCTCATCCAGGGCTGGGCTCCACCTGTCAGACTGGGCCACCCTCACACTCACACGTGGGCTACTCCAGGGAGGCCCAGGAACAGGAGAGGGCTGGGCTGTGGTGGCAGGCCTGGGGAAGCTGAGGCAGGACCTGGGGGCAGCGTGGGGTGGACGGGGAGGGGAGTGTGCCGTGGTCCTGATGGCCGGGTCTGCAAACACCTGGTCGGGCCTCACTGCGGGTGGGCCCTGGCCTCTGGGAACTTGCCGTCCAGCTGGGGAGTCAGACAGCAGGTACAGGATGTGTAACTCCCGAGGCGGCTTCTGGCCGGTACGGAAGTCATTCCTCATCGTAGTGCCTAGGGGTACCCCCAGCTCTAAGGAACCCCTGCAAGGCTCCATGTCTCCTGAGGGTTCAGGTCACTGCTCCTGACACCCTAGACTCCTTTCTAGACATGCTAACCTGGGACTGAAAAGAAGGTAGAAGGAGCAGATATCGTCTACCTCCTGGGACTGGGCCAAGCTCTTGGGCCACCCCTTCTTCTATATCACCCCCATTCTAGTTCCAACCTGAACAGTTGGACTCAGCTAGACCTGGGCATTGAGGTGCTTTGGTGCAGCACTGGCTCCCACCGTGTGCTACCACTACGTCCCAAAGCTCTAGGGACTCTGGACATAACCTCGTCCATGGCCTGTGTCCAGGGCACACAGAGGATCAAATCCAGGGGGAGGTGCGTGGGTGTTTGCTCTGATGTGCGACGCAGTAGGATGGTTGAGAGAGGAAGGTAGTGGTGGGCTCCCGAGTCTGCCCACCGGCCTGGCTGTCTGTGGGGAGAGCAGCCACACACATCCCCATTGTCCAGTGAAGGGTGTGTATGGAGGGGCCTCACTACCCTCTCAGTCCCTGACTGCTGGCAACCTGGCATTACTGTACTTAAATGACTCCCTTGAGGTCCCCATGGTCCTCTGATATCCCACATCTCCAGCAGCCTGCTGGGCATCTTCTCTCTGACCCCCCCCCCCCCCCCCCGCCCCTGCCCAGCAGAGCAGACCCAGCAAATGCATGCTAATAGTGGCCAGGACCGACTCATAATGTGCAGAGCCCTTTGTCCAAAAGTTATTAAGAATTTCAGGGTGGTGACAACAAGAGCGGGGCCCTTCTGGGCACGGGTTTTGTGTGACTACACGGGCCGCGTGCCCGGGAGGCCAGCCCTGATGATAGCTGACACTATCGGACACTTGCCGGACACGGCGCTAGGTGCTCCTCATGCATGATCTCATTCCTTCCTCTCAGTAGCCCTATTATCCCTATTGTGTGGGTGAGGAAATTGAAGGATTAGACAAACCGCATAACTTCCTGAGGTCACGGCTCTCAAGAGCTAGAGTGGGGGATGGAGCCCCGCCTGTCTGTCTGCAGAGCCTGGGCTCTTAGCACCACCCCCGGCAGCTCCAGCCTGCAGGGGAGAGGTTGCTGGGCAAGGCAGCTGCTTCCCGTCCCCATCTGCGGCCCTATCAGGGGCAGGAAGGAAGATGAGGAAAGAAGCAGCAGCTGACGGTGCAGCAACAATGGTGGCGGTGGTGAGGGTGGCCACCCCCAGCAGAAGTGCCGGGCGGGGACAACGTGAGATGGCACAGGAATTGTGTGAGCTGGAGTCAGCTGATAGAGACCACAGCAGTGCCCTCCACCCTCTGGCCCCATGTGGGCATCGCTGAGCCCTCTCCTCTCCCTCATATCACCTCCAGCTCGGCCCCTCTCTTCCCCTTCTCCCCAGCTCTCCCTGCCACCCCCTTTCCAGCACCTTCCCCTGGGAGCTCACTCAGGGCTCTCCCCCAGCTGTGTCCTCAGTATTCCCACACATCTCCGCAGTGTAACAGCCACGGTTTAGTGGGCACCGACTGTGTGCCAGGCACGCTGCTGGGGACTTCACAAGTGTATAATCTTGAATTTTCTCCACAGACCTGTAAACAGTTATTATGCTCATTTTAAAAGGAAGGAACTGAGGCTTGGAGAGGCTAAGAGAGTTCACACACAGCTCCTAAGTGTGAAGACACTAGGGCTCCGGCCGAAGCCCATGCGTTTTCTGCCCCTCCTCACTGCCTTCCCCGTAGGGTGGGGTCGGCCTGACAAGGTGCGGCAGTTCCCTGAGCCTGGGAGAACCTTTCACACAGGAGAGATAAATCGTTGGAGAATTGGTCCATTTGAGGGAAGAATCAATTGTGTGCTGTGAGGGAGGGAGACGTTCACCTCCTGCCTCAGTTCTGCAGTAGCTGGGGTGGGGTTTGGGGGCTGACGGACGGGGGAGGACCAAGGCCTAACTCACACACCTTTTACCTGTTGGCATCTTGGCACCAAAGAATGGACTGTGATAGCCCTGTCCAGGTGGCAGAGTTGGTTAGAGCATCATCCCGTACACCAAAGGTGGCGGGCTCCATCCCTGGTTGGGGCGCATACAAAAGGCAACCAATTGATGTTACTCTGTCACACTGATGCTCCCCCCGCCTGAATAAAAACACATCCTTGGGTGAGGATTTTTTTAAAAAGTTAAAAAGAAGATCGGTCTGTGATAGGCCTTGGGGGAGGTTGGACTGCTGTAACAGAGCCTTAAACAAAATGGAAATTTCTCACCTACAAGTCTGGGTGGTGGATCTGCCCCTTGACAGTGTCGAGGACCCGCTCCCCACGGAGTTGCTCCTCTGTGCCCCCGGGATGCTGAAGAAGCTGAGGACAGCACCATGTCTCCTGGGCCCGTGACCCTGCCAGTGGGAAAGGAGAAAGGGAGGAGGAGTCACTGCCCTTCCTTTCCAGGATGTGGTCTGAAGATCGCCAGGCCACTTACCCTGTTGGCCAGAAGTTGGTCACATGTCACACTTAGCTGCAAGGGAGTTTGGGGATCACACATACAGAGTTTCTAGTATGAAGGGGAATGGATTCTGGGGGCAATGAGCAATCTTTGCCACAGAATCTAGATGCGAAAGGACCAGGAGAGCCATGCCACATGGGTGAGGATGGCTTTTGTATGTGGAGCCTCCAAGAAGAGAAGTCTTTTTTTAAAAAATATGTCTTTATTTTTAAGTAAAGAGAGGAAGGGAGAGGGGGAGAGAGAAACATTAATGATGAAAATCACTGATTGGCTGCCTCCTGCAAACCCCCTACTGGGGATCAAGCCTGCAACCCAGGCATGTGCCCTGACCGGGAATCGAACGGTGACCTCCTGGTTCATAGGTCAACACTCAACCGCTGAGCCACACCGACCCGGCGAAAAGAAGTCTTCTTAAATAGACTTCTCTCTGGGGGAGGCCCAGGGCAGAGGGGCTGGCACCCCCTTGCCTAATGCCCTCTACCCGGACTGCCCCATCTCTGGTCAGAGGTGGAGGGTTTGATTTTCCCTTGCCACGACCAGAAGCCCCTTGGCGGGCCTTCCGGAGCCCTTTTCCCAGGAGCACTGTGGGGTCAGGGTGAGGTTCACTGAAGAGCACCATAGGCGCCCCTCTGGGAGGCCCTGCTGTTCTCAGAGCCGGCAGAGGCAGTCACACTTCAGCGAGGCGGTTGAGAGGATCAGATGTAATCATCTGCGGCATCAAGAGGTGGAGACGCTGAGAGGGTGAGCGGCAGGTGGAGACCCCAGCGCTCTCAGGGCGTCTCAGGGACTGAAAGGGAGCGGAGGGAAATGGTTTTCCTCTCTGGCGATGTGACTCTTCAGGTGGCTAGGTGCTGAAGGCAGTCTTCCGGGTCCAGTGCTCGCTCACTAACTCATTTATTCATTCATTCATCCATCCATCCATCCATCCATCCATCCATCCATCCATCATTCCATTCATCCACCCATCCACCCAGTGTCTGTGTTTTGAGTGCCTGTTATAGATGTGTTCAGTGTGGGCGAAAGAGGAAAAAAAGACAGGCACAGTCCCTTACCTCACGGAGCTTGTAAGCCCTGGGTTTTACCTGCTCCCCATAGAGGGCACACCAGGCCATCGCAGCTCTGAGAGAGCCAGCCTTGTGGCTCAGAGCTCAGAAGGCCCAAAGGGAGTCCATGAAAGCATGTGGCAGGCCCGCACCTTGAAGGGGATGCCCGCCATCTTGGGGTGGCAAGGCTCAGTGTGGGCTGGGGTAGCGGGGGAGTGGGGGTGCCAGCAGGGAGGGGGGGGAGCACGCTTGGGAGCTGCGGTTTCACTTCTCTCTCATGTTCTGGGTGTGGAATCTGCTTTTTCTCAGTTGGTGAGTTTTGTGACTTCTCCTCTGTGCCTAGGGGACATGTCCCGTCTCACTGCCCCTCTAACCCGGGCTGTCCCTCCAGGGCTCCAGTGGTGGAATCCCTCCTCCCACTACCCACAGCCCCAGTTCACCAACTGCATCTCTTTGCTCCAGGAAGGGGGGTGGTGTGGAAAGTGGAAATCTGTGTGGGGACACTTCCTTTGTGGGGCCTTTGGTTTCTCAGGCTCCTCCCTGGGTCCCTCTTGGCCTTGCACTTCCCCCAGCTAGTCCACAGAGAATGAGGATCCATGTCCCACCACATGGGTTGCTGTTTACCTGCTTCCCAGAGGCACCCCTTGCCCCAGTCCTCCCGGAAATATTTAGCAATCTGAGGATTGACTGTGCCAACTCTTGGGCCAGCACCCAGGCCATATCACTGGTTAACTCTTTTGGGTGGTGGGTGAGTTTTGCTGCTCCACCCACACTGGAGAAAGGGAGAGGAAGCCTCGTCCTGCCACCCTCCCCCCTTTCCTACTTCCCCACTGCACATGAGGTCTCCCGGGTGAACCAGATGTACACATGCATCAAGGGAGGTGGGCGACACAAGCAGGCAGCCACCTGTGACTTCTCTGGGCCAAGTGCTGCATCGACACCTGGGGAAGACCCCCTGGCGGTTGTGGGGAGCCTGTTTTGACCTGATCTGTATTTACCCCTGACAAAGGAAGTAAATAAATAGCTCTTGGTGTGGATGTGCATGTGCCAGACTGTATATGTGCCTGCTGCACACCGTTAAAAACCGTGACCCAGCCCAGAGGAAGTGGTGACAGAGACGATTGTTTGTTTTATTTTCCATTTACCCTTACAACCCTTCTCCACTCCACCCTGCGTCTGTGCCGAGAGGCTTTTCACCAGCCTGGATCCAGTCGTTTGCTCATTGACTTCTTCGTTCACGCGTTCTGCTGTGTGCTGAACCAGCATGGTGCCAGGTGCCGGCGAATGTAAAAGATGCTCTAGAACAGTGGTTCTCAACCTTGGCTGCACATTACAATCACCTGGGAATCTTTTTAAAATCCTGATTTCTGGGCCTCATCCTCCGGAAATTCTGTTTCTTTGTTACTAATGTTGTGGCCCCACCCCATAACAAAGAAACAGAATTTCCGGAGGATGAGGCCCAGAAATCAGGATTTTAAAAAGATTCCCAGGTGATTCTAATGTGCAGCCAAGGTTGAGAACCACTGCTCTAGAAGAAAGTGGGATGGGGAGAGGGCGCCCTGGCAGTTGGATTCACGTCTCTTGGCCTGCTTACTAGCAAGGTGACCGTGGGCAAGTTGTTTTGTGGGATCACAGCGCCCTATCAGCTCACTGTTACAGTCGTGTTCAGGATTTAAGTCGGTAGAAGAGTGACTTGCTCATGGCCAGCACTCAGTGTGTGTGACCTTCTTCCTTTAAGGACACACTCCGCACAAAGTTTGCAATGTCCCCTCTGCGCCTCTTCCCCGCTCCTGCTGCTGGCTGCCCACCCCAGACCTCCATGGGCGCCCCCCCGGGACTACTGTGCCTTTCTCCGGCACCACTGCTCAGAGGCGTTAGGGCAGGGGTGGGCAAACTTTTTGACTCGAGGGCCACAATGGGTTCTTAAACTGGACCGGAGGGCCGGAACAAAAGCATGGATGGAGTGTTTGTGTGAACTAATAGAAATTCAAAGTAAACATCATTACATAAAAGGGTACGGTCTTTTTTTTTTTTTTTTAATTTTATTCATTTCAAACAGGCCGGATCCGCCCGAGGGCCGTAGTTTGCCCACGGCTGCATTAGGGGCTGCCCGGGGCCTATAACATCAAATTCGACTTATCATGGTGCGCTGGTTCTCCTAGCATCTGGGCTCAACCCACCTCTCCACCCCTTTCTAAGCTCATGGGTTATACAGGTTGAACCACAATCAACCTTTACAACCCCATAAGAGGGCCTGCTCCCTGGGGTGTTCCTGCTTCCATCACTTTCCTCACACTGCCCCCCTTCCTGGGGTGCCCTTTGTCCTCCTCCCACCCACCCTCTTTGTCCAAACTTGGCCATTCTTCAAGTTTAAATCCACTTGGTTGTCCCCCCTGACATATCCTGCCTCCTGGGTAGCATGTCCTCTGGGTAGTATATTCTGTGTGGTGTAGCTCATCGCCCTTCCTACACTGTGTCTTAGTTGCCTTCCATCCTTCTTTCATTCATTTAGCCCAGCGGTTCTCAACCTGGGGGTCGAACGACCCTTTCACAGGGGTCGCCTAAGACCATTGGAAAACACATATATAATTACATATTGTTTTTGTGATGAATCATTATGCTTTAATTATGTTCAATTTGTAACAATGAAATTGGGGGTCACCACAACATGAGGAACTGTATTAAAGGGTCGCGGCATTAGGAAGGTTGAGAACCACTGATTTAGCCCCTAGGAAGAATGACTGTTCTGTGCCTGATGCCTTTGTGCCCAGTCCTTGTTTCTCCAATAGTGCTCATCACTGCATGTACTACTATATTCTCTCAGTAAATGTTGGTCCAATAAATGAGTGAGGGGAAACAGTGAGAACAGAGGCAGCAAGTTTGAGTCTTGGGGTGCAGGCTCTCTGTGCTGTGGGCATTCCAGGGCAAGGGAGGGTAGGGAAGGTTGGGGCTGAGGAGGTGCTTCCTGAAGAGCTGAGTGGTCTCGAGGTGAATGGGTAGAGTTGGGAGGGTTGGTGGGGGGTAGTGGTGAGGGCAGGGCAGGCACCATGACCACCTTGACTAGAGCCAGGGATTCTTGCTCCAGCCCCTCACCACCACACAGGTGTCCAGATCTGGTGAGGGCACTGTGGATGGAGGCCTGGACCAGGCACATCTGTGCACAGGGTCCTTCGGAGGCCCTAATCCACACAGTGAAGCGGAGAAGGACAGAGCGACGGCCAAGAATCTCCTGCATGTTGGGTCAGACACAGGCAAAGAGCCAGGGTTGGGAAAAAAGTCATGCATTCGTTCATTCTCTGATTCATTCAGACTTTTAAAATAAGATTTTAAAAAATTATAAAATTCATACTTGCTCAGTATAGGAAATGCGGACAATACAGAAATATAGGAAATCTCTAGAAAAATCATTCCTAGTTCTAAACACTCAAAGACAGCCTCGTTTACATTTGATGTGTCTCCTAGTCTTTTATCTTTATTATTTAAATAATTTCCACACAACTATTTTAATAGCTATTTAAATGATGGTTAATTTTTACATTTAACTTTTAAATTAAGTCGAATAGTACAAACACTGTAATGATAAAAGTAAAACAACCATTCTCATTATAAAAACACATTACAGACAGGAAGAAAATAAAGATGTAAGTCCCACCCTCCAGGGAAAACGAGTGTTAAGGGCTGGTTTGTGTCCCTCAGAACCCTTTTTCTACGCGTATACACTTACATTTTATTCTTTTAAAATAAGATCATAGAATACTCTCCATATGCAATCGTTTTTACTTTTACAAAGTTAGGCTCATTTTGCATGCCCGATGTTGCATCTCCCTTTTTTTTACATAACATTTTTTCCCTTTATTTACATAGCATTTTTTAT